TCACACGCTAGTTCACCTAAACGGAGTCGGAACAGACAGCAACCTTCAAAATTGTCCTTAAAATCACTCTCAAACGTACTGGGCATTTACTGGGATTTGGGGGGGTTTTCTTCAGCTTTCAAACTACTATTACACGCAGAATATACTGTTAAATACCACCAATGACTGCCCACCTCCCTTTAAAAGTAGCCCCCATCCACGCACCATTCAGCTTACACGAAACTGTCCTGTCGTGCCTTCGCCGTCAGTTTAATTCATAAAGTAGCTGTAACTCTTGACATCACCTCCGCAGCCCACCTGAGGTCTCCTTTCCAGGACACCTTAGGAGGCTGTTATTCAGGCGCTGAATTCTGAGACTTAAAGGAAGGTTACTTGAGGCATCTTGGTAGATTTCCGGGCTTCCAACTCCCTCCCCTGCTTGGCTGGTAATTTTCTGCTGCTCCTCCTCCTCCCCCACTTGACCTCCTCCAAGGTACCTTCGCCTCCCCTCCCCCGCTCGTCCCCAGTAAACCTCCAGCGGGTGGGGGAAATCAACCCTTTGGCGCTAAAGCTAAATTCAGAGCTGCCCGTTGGACAGGTCTGCAGTGGGGGAAAGGCTGTCCATCCTTTCAGAATGATCAACTAGATGGAGGTAACTTGTTCCAGGTTTCCCAAGATCTTGGGTGGACCCGTGAATGTTTTGCTAGATTCAATGCGAATGTAGATTTCAGCTGAACCGCTCAGGACTTGGGAGATAGCTGTTTCACCTCTCCAGACTGCAACCACTTCCGCGAGAACCTGATACATTTAATGAGGCTTTGCCAAATGTATGGGTCAGCGCATCCTTGGGCCAGCACCACTTGGGTCAGCACACTGCACTCACTAGCACCAACCTGGGCTCCACGCAGCAGAACTCGGGTTAAAAATCGTCTGTTCCTGGTCATTTAGGAGTTCTAGGGAGCAGGGAGAAGCAAGAAAAAGGTTTCACTTGACACTGCCAGCCGCTTTTGATAAGTCATAGTAAACACTTTCAGAAGCACAATTTGAAAGGGAGGATGCAAATTTCTGTCCTCGGTTGGCCGAACTCCTCCCTGCAATCAGCTGCGGACCTTCACACGTTGTTCAGGACTGAATTGAGGTTTGTGGCTTCGCAGCTGCCCGGCTGCCGGGAGCATGAAATTCTATCTCGGCTGAGAACCGAGCAACAGACTGCACAAGAACGGTGCCTTCTGGGCTTTCGTCTGCCAAGAAATACCAGAAACGCTGTTGTCTGAAACAACTACCTGAACTAAGTAAGGCTAGGAAGCTCTGCGTGCGGAGAAAATTCTTGCTAATTCACCCAGACTGTTTAACTAGTTAATAAAGCAATTGACACTCAACAAAACCCCAATCGCAGCAGGAGTCCTAGGCATCAGAATAAGAACCACAACTAAAGGTTTGTTGTTGTTGCTAACAACTGCCTTTCTGATCATTGTTTAGTATTTTTTTTTTAAGTTAAAGAAGGAAAGAGAAAATCATTTCATACCCAGTGGTATCTCCTCTTTTTCTCTGAAATTAGAGCAGATTCTCTTAATTGTTCCTCAGTAAGCCACCACCATCAACGGGAAGGGAGGCAAATTGGTTCTAAACACCCACACCCCCTTCCCGGTGGAATATAAATGTTTAATCATAACTCCCTTTAAATGCACATAATTTTATCTGACCCTTGGACATGCTTAAAGATACTGAGGGTTTATATAGCCTTATTCTACATGTAGAGACTACACAGAAAAGATAAAAACTGACAGGAGAAAGGGGATACATATACATCTACTCAATATCAATTTTTAGAGGTAAATAAAATGTTCCTGTTTCATTTTAGCCCTCTAATTATATGATTGTGGACAGAACATAAATCCTTCAGTTATATATGTTTTTTCATCTGAACACCTTACTCAGTGAAACTGGCAGTGTAACTGTTATTCTACTCTTTCAAATCTGATTCTGATGGGAACTAAACATACAGCATCATCTCCCTGGGAATAAATTCCCAAATCTATATCTACATTGGAAAGTTGTTCAAAGCCCCTCTTCCCTTCCCAGTCTTGGTTAGATGAGAATGAATGGCTGTCTTAGGGTTTGTGATTCCCCAAATAACCAACTTGAAATTCATTTATATCTGCCAGGGGTTATTGGGAGATAAATAAATGCTAAATGTTTAATTTTACCTTTCAATTGCAATTAAAACCTATTTAGATTTTTGACATGTAGCTTGAGAGTATGATGTTTGTTCAGGAATCTCTATCTAACATTAAGTTTGATGTGGAATGTTTAAATTTAATTAAAGCAGAGAAAGCAACAGTACACAAAAAGACAGGTTTAAATAGGGTTAAAGCCCACCAGGAGGTTGGGTATAACAGCCACGTTTTGGAAAGTGTATACAAGTGCACCTGGGCAGATGCCACAGACTCCAGAGGAACTTAAATTTCAGTATCCCTTTTATATTGAAAGACACTGTCAGATATTCTGAGGCAGCCTGGAGGTGATGGGGACTATACCTGATAACTCGTATTCCTCTTTTTCTCAGGACAGGAGCTCACACCAGGGATTCACACTATTGCTGTTTTCAAGGACATATTTTTGACCTAACAATATACAAAGGTCAAAACGAGTCAATTTTTTAGAGAAGAGGGTCTGATCCCCTCTCTGAACACAAGAGGTCGCTCCTGTGATCAAGTACTCTGGAAACTGCTAATTGCAGTTTTACATATTCTCTGAAAAACAAAATTTTACAGATATATTTGATGTACTAAATGCACAGATAGCAATCAGCTCTGAGGAAATGAGAATAATCCATGATCAATTTAGAGCTTCAAGGTGAAGTAAAACTACAAAGCCTGCTATTCTAACTTGGATTTTAATGCAAAATGTGTCATTGGTACATTTTAGGGACCTGGTGGGGTCCCTAAAACATCTCCTCTTAATGCGGGTATCTTCTCCACGGATCTTGCTTCTATCAGTTTAGGAACTTATTAAGAAAACACTTGTTTACAAAAATGGTGCAGAATGAAAAGAGGAAAATGTTGTCTACCATTAAGGTGAAATTGCCCATTACTGAAGGTTTCACCCAAGCTACATGCCAGCTTTTCTACTTGGACTTGCTATCATCTGCAATAATTCTTTGTAATAGCTTATTGGTTTAGGGAGTTAAAATACTACACTCTGTGTGGAAGGTGGGGGCTGGTTTGAAAGAGTATGGACAGTGAGGGTGCTTTGTGGCTCTGAAATATAAGTCATCAGGCTTCTGGAAGCTTCTGGTGTTTAATTCTATCTTATAAAAGTGGCATGGTGGAATATGACTGGGTAAAACTCTATTTTCTGGCATTGTGGTGGTATCTTTTTTCACTAGGGTCAATATGTTTATCTATATGGGAAACACGGCCAAATACTGGGAAGATTTGCTTCCTGTTGAGATTATCAGCATCAGTTTTGCAAAAGCGGCTTGAGAAAAGGCTTCATACCTATAATACCGAAGACTTTAGAAACAAATCAAAAAAAAAAAAAAAGGAAAAGAAAAAGAAAAACCTTCACAACTGGGAAACTCATCAACCTAGGTCTATCCTATCCAACTTTCACTTTCATACACGCGCTCCAAAATAATTTATAATGAAATGGAAGGGAAGAGATCCAATTTGAAATCTTCCTTGAGAAAACAAAACGAAACAAAACGGGTTCCTGGGGAAAAAAGCCTCAGCTAGGTCATGGGGAAACTCAGGCATCTTAGATTCCCTTTCCGCTTTGGAGAGGCTTTACCCGCTCAAGCCCAGCCACTGCGCCAGCCAGGGCTTACAGCCCTTATCAAGGGCTAGATCTTGCAAAAGATACAAAGAAAGGAGTTTCCTAACACACCGGGTCTTCTCACAACAACAAAACACCGAAATTAAGCCTTCTATGGTTTGTGTCTGTAGGCCTTTTTAGATAAAACTGGCAGTCCCATTAGATAAGAAATAGCTATTTAGAAGCTTTGGGGGAAGCGCAGCGGTTCTTCGTAGCCTTCCTGCGACTTTGTCTTTGGGAGACTGTCAGAGATGATGGGAACATGTAAGAATTATTGAAAAAGGTTACCGGCGAGTTGCACCCAACAGTCTTCTCTCTCCAAGTAGTTTTCCGAGAGAAAATTATTAGATATCAACGCCTGGTGACGTGAAATAGATCTTTCACTGTTCTGTAATAAATCCCTCCCTACTCGCGCCCTTACATTAATGCGTTTTTAAAAAAACCTCCAGAGACATGAAGACTTGTCCTTGTAACTATCAAAACACCACAGCCTGTTGCACAAGCGTGCTTAAAAACAAAGGGCAAGAGACCAGCAATGAGAGGAACTGGAGAATATATAAAAACCTGACAAACTTTAGACTACTGGAAGATCATTTCGCGCTTTGGCTTCGGGTTAGTGAGCTTCAATTCTAGAGTTAAACTGAAAAGCAGACCTCGCGGGTCTGAAAGCGAAAAAGCCCGTCAGTCCGCGGAGTCAACTTTGTTTTACCTGTACGTTGCAACCAGACTGTCCGCAACAGCAAGAAGCGCCCCTTTCCTCCCACCCCACGTTTTTAGATATCTGAGGTCGGGGGAGACAGAGTAATGGTGTAGCAGTCAGGGAACAATTCCTCTGGGTTTAATCATCCCAGTCCCGATTCTTCTTCCCCTAGCGCATCCAGCGCAGCCAGTTCTGGAGGGAACTCACCCTCCCGAGCAGCCAAAGCGGGCCAGGCCCCGGGGATGTGCGCCCCGGCGTGAGACCAAACCAAGCTAAGCGGCCTGTTCCAAGTTCCCCTCTTTTCCTAGAGCCCGGGAGTGACCTCGTCAACAGGCAGACCTACCCACCAGCCACTCGCCACCGGCGGCAGAAAGTGGGCCCCGCGCGCAACTCGGCCAGCCGGACTGCGGGGACCCCAGGAGCTCAGGGCGGAGGAGCGGCGCGGCGGGAGGCGAGGGCGCAAGCGGCGCGGCCAGGAAGGAGCGCGGGAGGGGGCAGAAGGAAGAAGAGGAGGAGGAGGAAAGGGAGGCCAGAGCCAGAACAGCCCGGCAGCCCGAGCATCGGGGGTGAACGGCCTGAGCCCGGAGTAAGTTGCCTCGGGATCCCTAATCCTCTCCTGCGGGCTCGCCGAGCGGTCAGTGGCGCACGGCTGCGGCAAGGCTGAAATATGATAATCAGCACAGCTGCGCCGCGCGCCCCGCAGCCAATGGGCGCGGCGCTCGCCTGACGTCCCCGCACGTAGCGTCAGACCAATGGCGATGGAGCTGAGTTGGAGCAGAGAAGTTTGAGTAAGAGATAAGGAAGAGAGGTGCCCGAGCCGCGCCGAGTCCGCCGCCGCCGCAGCGCCTCCGCTCCGCCAACTCCGCCGGCTTAAATTGGACTCCCGAATCTGCGAGGGCGCGGCGCAGCCCGGCAGCCGCCCTTTCAGCTTTGGCAACCCCAGGGGCCACTATTTCCCACTTAGCCACAGCTCCAGCATCCTCTCTGTGGGCTGTTGACCAACTGTACAACCACCATTTCACTGTGGACATTACTCCCTCTTACAGATATGGGAGACATGGGAGATCCACCAAAAAGTAAGAAGCTGTTTTACCTTGTGGGGCTCGGTGTGCTGTTCCTGTGCGGGGGTCTCTCTCAGGCACTGGCTCAGGTGCAAAGGGCTCTTTAGAGTTGGAGTCATTGCCTGGAGAAAGAGAAAAGGTGGCTTTTTCTTGTTGCCGCCACGCCTGCATGCTTACTGTTGGTTCTAATCTTTGGGAAACTGATCGTACCTTGTGTTTGAATTCGCCTGTGCATCCTCTAAAACTCTAGCTTTCTGGTGCTGAGCGGTGGTGATTTCCTCGTGGGGAATCCTGAGCTCTCTGAGAAGGTTATATTATGTTGCAAAGGTCTGCCTGCACAGTCAATACCCAGAGATGTGAATTAGCATTAGACTTGCAAAAGAGAACGGGTGACAACTGTATTGATGTCTGCTCTTGCTAACAATATCCAGTCCTATGTGCTATTTAAGAGCGTGCTTCATGGAAAATATAGACATCCCTGCGTTCACTTAACGCTTCTAGTCAAAACCTTTTCTTTGACTTGACTTATCCATAATCTTTCCCAATGATTATAGCAAAGAGAAAGGAGGGGGAAAAAGGAAACACAAAATGAGCGGGTTTGATTGCGTGCTAGGCGTACAAATGCAGACTATTCAAATCTGCATTTTACATATATTCCACCTCCTTTTAAAAATGAGTCAAGGTTTTGATGGCACACTTCAATTACCATCCCAAAGTGCAATACTCTTAAAAAAAAAAAAAAAAAAAAAGGAAAGAAAAAAAAAAGAAACCTCCCAGAGTACGCCCTATAAGAGAACGACACTAAAAGTGTGTTTATCTCTGTAGGAAGTAAACGGTTAGTCAATCATGTATTTATTTTCATTTCAGAAAAACGTCTGATTTCCCTATGTGTTGGTTGCGGCAATCAAATTCACGATCAGTATATTCTGAGGGTTTCTCCGGATTTGGAATGGCATGCGGCATGTTTGAAATGTGCGGAGTGTAATCAGTATTTGGACGAGAGCTGTACATGCTTTGTTAGGGATGGGAAAACCTACTGTAAAAGAGACTATATCAGGTATGGCATTTATACTTCTTCCTTAATTTTGTGAGATTTCCCTGACTCTCCCAACTCCTTATGTATTATTTGGTGTGGCTTTGTCTTTTTGTGAAGTTTGCCTCAGTGGAGTCTAGCAAGCCAGAGTTACCCTGTAAGTGTGTTACAAAAATCAAGCTATGCTGTTCATTTCATTTTTTTTTTTTTTTTAGTTGAGAAAAACAAAAACCCTGAGCAGTGGTATTCATAATTCTGGGGTATTGAAGCTTGTTTAATTACTCTTGGAATTTTTGAAGCACAATTTATTTTCCTCTCTCACCCTTCCCCTTGCAAAACAAATTTTTAAAAAGGTGGAGAAGTTTGGGTTTTTAACTTTACAATACGGTCGATTTTTATTGTATAGCGCAGTGTTCTGTTTATTTGTTTTAGTCTTTTTAAAACTAGTAACTTACAAATCCTTGGGTGGCATCAATGTAGGTGAAATAAAAGTCTGACTGAAGCATGTTTAGAGATGTACTTTGAAAGAGCAAGTACAGGTATTGCTCCTTTTATTTCTTGGGTAAAAACTTCTGAGAAAACTTTAAAACCAACCTACGTATTCCTTGCAAAAAACACCGGAAACTTAATCTTTTTAAATATTAACCCTTTGGTGACATCTGTCTTTTCTTTCTTATCTTATCTGAGCTGATGAATTAGACACAGCAGATCAAATTGCCCATCATCTGTCTACGAACAATTGGTATATTTAGATAATTGAACAGCTTCCTTTCTCACATTAAAATCTGGTAACTGATAAAATGAGTGAATTGTCCATATTGATAAGACTGAAACCACATAGGAACTTTCTGAGTTTGGTTTTGTTGTTTTGGAGGGTTTTTTTTTTCCTCCTCCAATTTATTCTGCATCAGGCTTTATTAAACTGAAGTTTCCTCTGACTTATGTGTATATATCAGAAATTTTGTTTTCTGCCTTAGAAAGCGAGTAGTCTCTAAAGAAAATTGTATTCATTTTATTAACAAACAGAAGAGATATCACCATGCTTATTATGTTAAATAAAAGCAAAATGTCACGTTAAAAATGTCCAATGGCTATTAACAAGTAGTTAATTAGCTTTTGTAAGGCCCCTGGTTTCTGGGGCTTGAGAACTTTTATTAAAGTTTAATAAAGATTTAATATACAGTCACAGATTTCTCCTGCTCACTTAGTATCCAGCATTTTTTTTTTCCTGTTTTTAAAAAATCATGACACTGAGGATATAATCTTGGTAGATAAAATTAACCTGGTGGGGGGAGGTTAATACTTTGGGGAGGGAGTGAAAGGAAGTAAGGGAAGTGGGGGTACAGGAAGGGGGAGGGATTTTCTAAATTGTTTGGTCACTAGCAAAGTCAAGCCTTCACCCTATGAAATGGAAGATCTCACATTGAGTAGGCGGAGGGAGGAAAAACTTTTGAATCCACCTTCTAACCTCTGATAAATGAGCATTTTCATTGTTTACTAGCTTGGTGTGTAAATGCAAGGTTCTTGAGAAGGAGAGCCCGCTTCAGGAGTATCTTTACTTCTATGGAAATAGTATTTTTGCTCAATTGCATACAGGCTTGCATGTGCCTAATTCAGGACCTAATCATTTTTACTTTCTCTCCACTCTCTCTCAACTCTCTCTGTTTCTCTCTCTCTCTCTCTCTTTCTCTCTCTCTCTCTCTGTGTGTGTGTGTGTGTGTGTGTGTGCTTGTGTGTGCATGTGTGTGTAAAATCTTGTAGTCGTAAAAGCAGAACAGACTGAACAGTTAGATTTCCACATCTCTCCTTGGGGAAGCAGGATGCGTCCTCCCATTATGTGGATCTTTTCCTCTCTCTTGCGTTATTTCTGTTTGTAGGAATGCCCTAGCTTCTGTTATTCCTGAAAGATGGAGAAGGGGCCAGGGCAGTGCAGCCTGGATGGAATCTGTAAAGACTGTCCCTTGGTAAGGAAAGGCCAGCAGTGAGAAAGACCTTAGAAGTGGGTCTTTGCATTTTTCAGGCTGGTCTGGGTTTTCAAGCAAATTGGAATAGAGGTAGATGATTCAGCAACTTGAAAAAGACTGAGGAAAGAGATGCAGATTTTTTTAAAAATAATAATACAAGGAAGAATGGAGAGGAAATTTTCTGTTCACATTGCTGCCTGAAGAAAATCTTTAGTTGGAGAAAGACTGGAAAGTACTTGTACAAAAGGGAAATGTGGAAACCCTCAGAAGTTTCCTTTTGTTATTCTGCTTATTTGTGAGTGTTTGCAAATCGAGTGGGGTGGCAATCCCATTCCCTTACCTCCTTTTTTCTTGGAAGAAGGACTTTTTGTTGCAGTTTTAGACATTTCTAGAAGCAGAAATTGGGGGATAGAGAAGTGAAAGTGTAGGTGTCAGTGGCCACCAGAGTCTTTCTGGATTCCTGCCTGCCAAAATCTGCAAGATAACACTGGGACTGATTGCTAGGGCAGCAGCCCGAATTTGGAATCCATCAATACATTTTCTGTGGTACAAGCTAGGTGTTCTGAACTAAGAGTTATCGACTGAGACACAGAGGTTCATCGGGAAGGAAACGGGAGTAAAAGAAAGGGAGGAGGGAGGACGTGGTGGGGGAAGAGAGCTGGGGGAAGGCAGAGAGGCAGGGAGGAAGAGAGCGGGGTTTCATTTCTGTCCTTCTGTTCCCAGCTTCTGTTTGGAAATGCTGTTTTCTCGGAGCGTCTTGCCCGGGATCTTGGGTCAGGGAAGTGATCGCCTGAAGTGACCCCCTCTTCCTGTGCTTCTCTCCCGCTCTGGGCCGCCTCCCCCGCCCCTCCCCCGCACAGGTTGTATGGGATCAAATGCGCCAAGTGCAGCATCGGCTTCAGCAAGAACGACTTCGTGATGCGTGCCCGCTCCAAGGTGTATCACATCGAGTGTTTCCGCTGTGTGGCCTGCAGCCGCCAGCTCATCCCTGGGGACGAATTTGCGCTTCGGGAGGACGGTCTCTTCTGCCGAGCCGACCACGATGTGGTGGAGAGGGCCAGCCTGGGGGCTGGCGACCCGCTCAGTCCCCTGCACCCGGCGCGGCCTCTGCAAATGGCAGGTACTCCTCTGCCCGGCCCGGGTAGGTAGGCGCCAGGTTAAACCAGCCGATGTGCCGGCGGCCACAACAACCCTGGTTAGCTATAGGGGTGGTCATAGTGGTGGCTTGAAGTTAAATGAAGTGTTCTGTACGCAATTTGCGCTGTGTTCTGCTCCTTTGCAGCAAGAGTCAATGTACTCACTATCTCCCTTGATTCTCCGAACACACCTACACGTCTGTGTGTCTCTATAAGGGTACACATAAATGTACACCACTTGTGTACACGTGTATACACACGCCCAAACATCACTTCCAGTTCGCTTTGCCCTCCAAATCTTGGCTTACTGAAAACGGGCTTCAGCTCCCAGCCAGGTATTCCTTTGCTGCCTAATTAAAGGGGCGGAGCCCCGGGTCCCTGGAGCTTCATCCTTTAACCCAATGAAGGAAGCTTAGGTGGCCTGAAGTCATTTCCCCTCCCAAATCCTTTTTTCTTGTAAGTTGCTAAACACTCAAAAATTTTTTAAATTTTTTTATCTTTTTGTGAGATAACAGGACTGAAAAGATACAGTTTTAAAAACTACTGGCCATTGCACAGAGCTGTAATTTAAAACCATCAGCAAGCTAATCTGCAGTAATTGCCTTTTAAAAGGAGCCTGCTTCTTTAAACCATTCATACTATGTGATTTGATGAGAATTTCATCTCCAGGCCTGCAGTTGTAGCTCGAAATTGACCCCATAGGTGTTGGCCTGACCCTAGGGGGTTGCAGAAGGTGCAGGATTTGTATCATATAGATAAGAGGACCCTTTCCCAAGGAAGAGGAGTGGAAACACAGCAGGGTTTGCTAGGACCAAAGCCGTGGGTTAGAAAGTGGACAGTGTTTCCAAACCTGACTTCCTGTCATGACTTCCCCTTTGCAGTTTTAAAGTATCAATTCCCAGTAAACACTGAAGGTGAGGAGACTAGCTCTCCCTTACCCCTCTGCCTTCTGGCAGGTCTAAGAATTCTGTTCAAGGGGATTTGTGACTAGTTTGCACCGGGGCAAAGCCAGGGGTTGTGCTCCTGTTCAGTGGAGCCTGCACTCTGCTTGTGGGGAAGCACAGAGGAAGCTGTAATACCGGGAGGGAGGCGCGGGACATCTCCCAGCCACCGTTTATCTGGAGTCTAGGCAGCTCAACAGACTTTTCATTTCCATTGCTTGGGGTCAGTCTATCTCAGGAACATCCATGTATTACCTTAGATTTAATACTAAGAAAGAGCAGGGACTGGAGATACGGCAGAAAGAGCGAATTTCTTCAGCACCTTGACATGATTGTCCTCTCCGACTGAAGTTCAAGGCGTTCTGGCAGAGCTCTCGGCCTTCCCCTTGCAGAAGTCCCTGCTGGTGTAGTATTTATGGCTGTCACTAAAGTGCTCTGCGTTTCCTTCCCCGGTACACTCTGTGGCCTTGGCCTGGGAGAAAATTCTGAGCCTGGAGAGGGTGGTAATCAATGTAACTGGGGCCCAGTCTGGGTACAAGGAAAGGTGAGAAGGGAGGAAAAACAGTGCTGAAAAATGCCACCCCTGCTGCGAACGGGTGGGGGGGCGGACAGACTTTGAGACCCGTTCCCCTTGGCTAACACTTTGTTGACACGAGGAGGGGCGGTGCTGCGTTCTGGGCCGGGATTATTCAACATTGACCTCTGCAGATTAGAGAGGGAGATTTTATTCTCCCTTTCACCCTCTTCGCCTCTACCGCTGCCGCCCCCTGCTTTGTGTGCCGAGGCTGCAAACACTAGCCATTGTCCTGAAGTGTCTCGGGCCAGCGAGCCAGCCAGCGGGCGGTGGAACAAGTGAGCGGGCGGGTGGGCCGGCGGGCGGGCAGGCCAGCGGGCAAGTGACCCGGCGGGCGAGCAAGGGAAAGAGCGAGCAGACGTGCGACTGAGTGAGTGGGCAACTGGGCGGGTGGGTGGCGATCGGATGTGCGGGCGAGCGAGCAAGCGTGCGAGCGAGCAAGCGGGCTGGTGCTGAGCGGACGGGCGAGCTAGCGGGCGGAGAGCTACCGGGCGGCCCCCCAGCGCTCATGGCGCTCCTTGCTCCGCAGCGGAGCCCATCTCCGCCAGGCAGCCGGCCCTGCGACCCCACGTCCACAAGCAGCCGGAGAAGACCACCCGCGTGCGGACTGTGCTGAACGAGAAGCAGCTGCACACCTTGCGGACCTGCTACGCCGCCAACCCGCGGCCCGATGCGCTCATGAAGGAGCAACTAGTAGAGATGACGGGCCTCAGTCCCCGTGTGATCCGGGTCTGGTTTCAAAACAAGCGGTGCAAGGACAAGAAGCGAAGCATCATGATGAAGCAACTCCAGCAGCAGCAGCCCAATGACAAAACTGTAAGTGGCTCTGGGGCCGGGCAGAGAACCGTGAGGGGGAAGGAGACGTGGCGTGCGAGGTGCGTTCCTGGTACCCAGTCTGACCGGTGTGCGGTTTTCGATCCTGCTCCTGGGCTAGAGTTTGGCCAGGGCTGCCCCTCATCCCCACCCCCACCCCTGCCCCGGGGGAGAGGCTACCCGGTCCCGGCAGGTAGCCGAGGGAGGGCGGGGCAGCTCGGAGGCTTCTTGCGACAGAATAGCTAGCGGCAGCCTGGTCCCAACCTCGTGGATGGGCTTGTGCCCTAACACCTCGCCTGCACCCCTGAACCCGAGAAACGCCGTCCTGCCTTCTGAGGGCAGGCGGCAACAAGGGTTAGCCTGGGTTTTGCCAACATTCAGATCGTCGGTTCCTCACTTACATAAGAGGGAGGGATAACACCTTGGTTCCTGCCTAGATCCAGGAGTTCCGTGGTCAGATCACCCTGTAAGTTCCCAGGGCGCACCACGCTTCTGAGCAAGGCCGGCCGCTGCGTCTTCAGGCCGGCCAGAGAGGTCCCCCAAGGTGACCCACATGCCCAGGGCACCCTCTGCTCCAGGTGAAGCACAGGCCTCCACAGAAGCATCAGGCCCCTCGCAGCACTATCCACTGTTATCATGGTCCCACGGAAGCACCCACTCTACAGGCCTCCTGGTGACATTAAGCTAGAGTTTCTTTTCTTTCTTATTTTTTTCTTTTCCTTTTTACTGCTTCGGCCCTATTTTTAAATGCCATAAAACCTGCTGTCATTAAACTGGGCCAAGGCTGGCCAAGACTGGGCCAGGGCACTTTCTGAGTTGGTTAGTGTATAATAATAGCACAATAGGAGCCAGACCTAAATGCTTTCGGGGGATGGAGTGGGGGGGGGCGGTGCTGGCTCCTCCTTGAGAAGAACTGCTTGGAAAAAAATCTGCAGCTAACTGAAACTGCCTAGAGAACTACCATGTCTAGAGGCTGAAGGGAAGCCCAGCTTGCCTCAGCTTTCTAGTTCTGGGAAGCTATGGCCTGGGAAGGCAGATGGGAGGAATTGGGCTGAGCTGTGAAGGTAAGGGGGAAGAAGAAAATCATAGTAGAATTTGGTTTAATCAGGTCCATGCAGACCTAATAGTCCAGCCCACAGAGGCAGAAAAACAAAACACAATAAAACAAAACTGAATTATAGCTAATATTCGTAGGTACAGTAGATTAACTGAATCAATAAAGGCCACTGTATAGATAAGATAATACCAGGGTATATTTGCTTAGCCTGTGCTGACAATGGAGGCAGGGAATTTGCTCATTAACATCTTGGGATTGGTGTGGGGGGGGGCACCTATTTACAGAATATCCAGGGGATGACAGGAACTCCCATGGTGGCTGCCAGTCCAGAGAGGCACGACGGTGGCTTACAGGCTAACCCAGTGGAGGTACAAAGTTACCAGCCTCCTTGGAAAGTACTGAGTGACTTCGCCTTGCAGAGTGACATAGATCAGCCTGCTTTTCAGCAACTGGTAAGTGTCAGCTCCCAGATGGAAGAGGCTAAATTCCCATCAGGGGATTCTGGTTTAACTGTCACACACTGAAAGATTCTATGGGGAGGGTGTCTTCTTCCCCTCAGGGTTGGGGAGAAACCAAGGAGGCGGGCAATAAAGAGAAGGGAGACAAATGCAAGGAAAACGAACCTCTTGTGTATCTTTTTTCCTTTTTTTAATGAAGCTGCAAAATTTGACCATATAGGTTAAATTTTCCATTAATCAGACCTCCTTTGAAGGATTAATTTCAAGATACCTAACTAGGTAGCATGTGCTGGAAGATGTACAGTGTTCGAGAATCATACATCTTAGATTTTTAGAATTGTCAAGGACTTTGGGAGATCATCTTTGCATTTCAATCAGCAATTAGTAAGTTTACTCCTTCCTGAGCATCTAGAGAATAGGATGTATAAGAAGCCTGATCAAGGTGATTATAGTACATCATCAGTGCTATAATATATAATCAGTGTTGTTTCCATAAACAGTAGGCACATGTCTGGGTGCAATTTTCAAACATATCAATAAAGTTTATTCAAATAAATACGTTTGTTACTGTATCCCTTGCTTGGGACGTCTTCATTCAGAATGTAGGACGGCTCAAATGTTTTCAAGTGTATGGGTTCAAGTGTCACAGAGTCACACACTGTGTACCATGTTTAGCAAAAGGGACATGAGCTCTACCAATCAGAGGTAAAGTGTTTAGTCTGTGAAAATGTGTGTAGCATTAAGATGTTTTCCACATCCAGTGAAGAGCAAATTAATTCACCTTTTGTCTACAAAAGGCTTAAGGGGTCAAGATAAATAAGAACAATAAATATGTGTCCTTTGTCATAAGCTGTATTTATACGTATGATTTTTTTCTTAAAGAGTAATCCGCCCTGTAGAGTCCTGTTTTATAAAATGTAAAGATCTATCCTGAAACCTTGTTCGAACTTTTTTTTTTTTTTTTTTTTTTTGGAAATGAAGCTTTAGTTAGAGGTGAGCTCTTTACCCATATTTACCTGGAGGGCATTTGCTTTCTCAGTGTCAACATTAGGTAATTGGCCAGAGGCAAGTAGTTATAAAGGGGCTTGGCCCCAGGCTGGTGTTTGCAAATGCTAACTGGGTGCAGAGGCTAGATGTGCCTTAATCTCATATTGAAAAAGTTTGCTGTAGAAAGAAATGTGGGCTCTGGAACTAGAAAAAAAAATAACTTATTTTAAGGTCATTAATCTGTTGAGTTCTTTGAGCAAAACCTAAATCACAGAAGGAAGGTATCATGGGGAGGGTTCAGGGCAGCCGAGTGTTTGCACTTTCTGAAACTTTAGTGTCTGATGAGAGCAGTGGAGAGGAAGCAGAGGCAGGGGTGGGCATGGTTAGAGAAGGTTTCCAACAGCAGTACAGTGCTTTTAGGGCTAAAAGAAGGAGCCAGATATTTAAGAAGGAGTCAGATATTAGGGTTAAAAGGAGTCAGAATGGGATGATGTCATAATATATGGGTCTCATTTTGGAAGGAAGAGCCTGATTTAAAGAGAGAGAGAGAAAAAGGCCAAGAGGCAGCAGGACCAACAAGGAAGAATGCCCAAGCAACGAGCCTGCTGAGGAGTTAATCGTTGTTCTGTGGAGCCTCCTCTCACTCTCCCATGGAAGGATCTGAGCCTGTTACGGATTTTCCAACTGAAGAAAAGAGTCTTTGATGCCTAGAGACTGACAGCTCGCCTACTCCCAGGGCAACTTGTAGCCAACAGGATAATTTTATTTTGAGCATGCATAGTAGAGTTGTGATGCCATTTTATGGTGGGAAACACATTTGTTCTTAAATAATTTAATGCAACATAATGTTGGGACTTCAGTTTCGGTTAAAACAGATCTTTTGGAAGATGGGAACATGAGAGGATGTCTTCTCAAGTTATTCTCCTCCAGGCTTTCTCTAAGCCTGTTAAAATTAAGTTATCTATGTGGGTATCTTTACCTACGTATATATCTACACAAACATTTCCACCTACACAATATGATGAGTTTATCGTCTTTTTATGAATACTGTTACAGTGTCCTTTATTTCTCAACCTTCTATGCAGGTCAATTTTTCAGAAGGAGGACCGGGCTCTAATTCCACTGGCAGTGAAGTAGCATCAATGTCCTCTCAACTTCCAGATACACCTAACAGCATGGTAGCCAGTCCTATTGAGGCATGAGGAACATTCATTCTGTATTTTTTTTCCCTGTTGGAAAAAGTGGGAAATTATAATCTTGAACTCCAAAACAAAAGTATTTAACGACCCAGTCAATGAAAACTGAATCAAGAAATGAATGCTCCATGAAATGCACGAAGTCTGTTTTAATGACAAGGTGATATGGTAGCAACACTGTGAAGACAATCATGGGATTTTACTAGAATTAAACAGCAAACAAAGCGCAAAACCCAATATATGCTATTCAATGATCTTAGAAGTGCTGAAAAAAAAAAAAACGTTTTTAAAACGTAGAGGATTTACATTCAAGGATCTCAAAAAAAGCATTTTCATTTCACTGCACATCTAGAGAAACACAAAAATAGAAAATTTTCTAGTCCATCCTAATCTGAATGGTGCTGTTTCTATATTGGTCATTGCCTTGCCAAACAGGAGCTCCAGCAAAAGAGCAGGAAGAGAGACTGGCCTCCTTGGCTGAGAGTCCTTTCAGGAAGGTGGAGCTGCACTGGTTTTCGATGTTTTAAGTTGACTTTACCAAGGGGTAACTTGAAATCCTGGGTCTCTTGGCCTGTCCTGTAGCTGGTTTATTTTTTACTTTGCCTCCTCTCCCCTTTTTTTGAGATCCATCCTCTATCAAGAAGTCTGAAATGACTTTAAAGGTTTTTGAATTGAGATTTAAAAACCAACTTATACCGCATTGCAACAAGGTTACCTCTATTTTGCCACAAGCGTCTCGGGATTGTGTTTGACTCGTGTCTGTCCAAGAACTTTTCCCCCAAAGATGTGTATAGTTATTGGTTAACATGACTGTTTTCTCTCTTTCTGGAAATAAAAAGGAAAAAAAAGGAAACTTTTTTTGTTTGCTCTTGCATTGCAAAAATTATAAAGTAATTTATTATTTAATTACTATTATTTAATCAGAAGACTTGCCACTTTTCATGTCATTTGACATTTTTTTGTTTGCTGAAGTAAAAAAAAAAGCTAAAGGTTGTACGGTGATCTTTGAATTATTTGTCTAATTCTATGTGTTTTGTCTTTTTTCTTAAATATTATGTGAAATCAAAGCGCCATATGTAGAATTATATCTTCAGGACTATTTCACTAATAAACATTTGGCATAGATAAATAAATAAACACAATGATCCAGGTCGCTGTTTTGTGTTTACAAACAAGCTATTCAAATGTCTGAAACTACGGATTGCATGTGAATTGGGATAAGCTGACAAACAGTAGGAGTGATATTGTAATTGCAAGTAGTTAAGGTCGAGTTTGCAAGTTTGGGTTTCAATAGTTGGATCAAGGTTGGTTGGAAGCCCTTAGCTCTCAGCTAGGATAATGCTACTGGTTTTGTGAAAATGAGATGCTGTTCTCTGTCCTGCCCAACTCTCTTTCCTTCCCTCAGTCTCTTTCTGTCGGTTCCCCATCCATTCACCCACCCCAAATAGGAAGAGGGTTTTGCTGAAAATGGTTTTTGATTCAGAGTCAGTATTTTATTTTCTTAGAATAAGTGATTTATACCAAAGTCTCCTGCTTGGGATTGTTGGAATGACACGTATGTCAAATATATAAGCTCTTGGTAAAAGAGAGGCTTTCTGCCTAGCCAGTGAGGGATGACCATCGTTTACCAGTGGCGGCTGTCAGCCGATTGAAAAATGCGGCTCTATTTGTGTAGAAGGAACAGGCCTAGAGAAAGAGTATGCTCTGCATTTCCCAGACTAGTCAGTGTTTGCATTTTCTTGCCTCTTCTCCCCTCTCCCATCTCTTCTTCATCCTTTCCCCAAGTCCAATTTCAAACATCTTGGGAAGGATGACTGGCTATGGGGAGAAACACGCCATGTGTTCTGTTGGGAAACCGCCTTTTATGGGATGGGGTAGCGAGCCGCGCGCTTTGCTGGACCCATCGGCAATCAGAGTTAGGAGCATGCTCTCTGGGACAGACTATTCCCCCGCTGGCATTTAGCAGTAGTTAAAGTGTGAGAGCCAGAACCCCAGAAAAGATAAATGGCACTGCTCGAAATCAGAAGTCTCGGTGCTTCTTCGTTTGCTGGCGTAGAGTTAGGATTTGGGGCTCCACCCTGTTCCCTCTCCTCCCTTCACCCCCACCCCAGGATGATGCTTTCACTCTGGAAACTGGATTCATTTGTATGCCCGAGTGTAATGCCGTTTTCAGTACCTGACGATTCTTAATAAATATGAAAGCTAAATTACCCTAACTGTGTGTCTCGTGGCGTACCCCCTTCGGGTTTGATAGGAGTGAGGTGGGGGCCGAGCCCCTCAGCTCTCAAGTCGCTTTCACCCTCTCCAAACCTGCGCAAGTCTGGAAGCCAGCCTCAATTACGCTTTTGTTTGGCTTGGTTCTACATAACGGGTTAATTACAGGCTCTAACGTGGGGGCAGAGAGAAAACAAACTTTGCATTGAAAATGTTACAGTGCATTAGACATGCCCGTTGATTACTTTGATTGTTGTGTCTAATTCTTGACAGAGGGGTAATAATTTGGCCGGGATAATAATGGCTTGCAGTCTTCTGCTGAGAAAAACAGGAGTTACGTCTTATCTCACACGGATCTTCTCTGGGAAAGGTTCTTTTTTTCTTTCTTTTTACTCAGGTCTCCGTCCTCTAATCTCTTGCCAAGAGACTTTACTCTTTTAGCTTCCCATTCACTATTTCTATTGGTCTCTTTTTTCCTTTTTCCTCACCATCACGGCAGAAATGGCAACAAATATGCATGTGTAAGGGTGGCAGGCTCAACGTGAATATTGGTGTCCTGCCTGCAAAGTTAATCAGAGTCTAAGCCTTCCTTACTTGGAAAACACTGGACCCCCTTCCCCAGCCATAGCCTCTGGTGGTCTCGAAAATGTTAGGAACTGGAGCTGGAAAACACTTTATTTAGGGTTTGAATGCAATAGAAAGACTTAAGTGAGGCACTCACCTTTGTGAAGCTTTTTCCTCCTCGAATTGATTTGTAAGATTAAGAATATGTTTGCATATTTGGGTGTGGGGCAGTGATGTTTTGCATATATAGATGTCAGCCTGTTCTGAAGTCGACCGCTTGAATTTAAGCACAATAATTTAGGGAGGGGCTGATGAATGATTTGCTTTCACTTGCTAGATTCAAGATATTTGTTTCCTGATGGCTGAGAATGGATTGATGGGTCAATAGATTCTAGTTCTTTTATTATTTACATGAAGATGTGTCTTTCCCCTCTAGACTCCTCAGCCTGTACTCTAAAATGTGTAGTTGAAATGTCTTTTTGTTTGCAAATCATTTCTTGCATACTCCTCTTCTCTGTACACCTCTGGAGACTGAGTTTTGAGCTCTGCTCTTATAATGAAATTCTTCCTGTTGGTTATTATCTTTGATCGTCCCTCCCTTATTACTCTGAATTCCTCCTTCTGGACATTATGACTCATTTCCTCCAGCTTCTGCAAGTTAAAATGTAATGCAACTAAAACCATCTAGTATGCTCCCCTTAAATCAGAAAATTCTTATCAATATCTGTAGTCTTAAAGACAGGATTTTCCCCCTATTATTTCAGCACAATACTATCTTCCATTTCAGCCTATTTTCCTTCTATTCCATTCATCAAATGAACTTGGGTTTTCTTACAATCAAAAAAGTTCTTTTCTAAGTTAGAATCATGTTTGGACATTATTTTTATTCTCAATTGAAACAAGGTTTCTGGTTATTTGCAATTCCGTGTGGGTATGTGTACCCACTTGCCCAGTGACAACCTTCTTGGAGTTCAAGATTAAATAGATGATTTTATGATGCTTGGCTGCTATTCACCCTGATCAACTTGTTGAACTCATAATGTTGACCTCTTTTCTGGTGTATCTCATCTTTTTGATACTAGCTAAAAAGACATTGTGCTTTCAGGTTACCTTGGAAGGACTTTGTATTTCCCTAGCACCTTGAATTTTAAGCCACAAGATCGATCTCGTGAAAAATAACTGTTGTAAATCCCATGTGGCTTTACTTAGCCTTTTCTTTTTTCTTTAAAAAAGAAGAAGAAGAAGTTAAAAAGGTTAAAATCAATCTCAGTTCAAACCCTCAGAAGAGCTAAGTTTGCGTGGCACCCAGCCTCTTTGGCTTTCTAATCTCATTCCTAATATGAGTGAACTGTCTAAGCAGAAAGTACTTATTTTCTTATTTGTAAAGTTCAGTTTAGTCAACTTTTGTAAATCAGATTTATCATCCAAATGATGCCTGAGTTCTGTTCCTCTGGGAATATTTACTTCCTTTTTGCTAATCAACAATTAAAGACTTACATTGCAACAGGGCAAAATGTTTCTCTTGGGGGGCGGGAGAAGAAATAGGAGGGGACAATTTTTGTGTATTTATTTTAAGTGTTCTCTTAAGAAATGGCCCCACATCTTGAATTCTCAATAACTGTTTAAAATAAAAAGTAACTTGTACAGTGTGAGTTGGTATTTTTAAAGTAAAATGCAAGTAGTTAATTCAAGGCTCTGGCAGCCTATTTTGTTTACTGATCTTTTCTGATTGTTGTTTTCTTGATAATGGAGCGAGCCACCGAATGGCTGTTTGAGCCTAGGCGCCACAAACATAAACTTCACAGCTTACAATGTCCCAAGCCGTGATGGAGGATCTCTCCACACCTCCCAGAGACTTCTGAAGTGTAGACAGAGAAGTTGGTTCACAGGGAGCAAAGGAGGGGGAGGGGCGGTAGGGAGGGCTGCTGAGTGTTTGCTGTGAGCATTGTTACTATCACGTCCTTTAATTTTTATGGTGCTTAAGCTGTTGCCTCCAAGAAGCCAGTTTCTGTGTTTTGAGGAAGCCAGTCTCTTCTCGGAACTGTACTTAAGACTCCTTGGTTCTAATTTGTAAAAATTTATTTTGCAAATCTTTCTGCTTAATTATCTCTCTGCAATAGTGCTCAGAATCGATAAGCAAAAGGTTCTAAAAACAAAATTATATATATGTATGTGTGGGTACATTCATACAAATATACATATAATATACACATACATATATATAATTTTCTTTATAATTTTCTTTATATCATTTATATGTGTATGAATACACAGACAGACACACACACACACACACACACACACACACACACCCCAAAGGAAACCACCTGGATTTGGAAGAAAGATGTGGGGTAAGACTGCTTTTCTCCAGATGGGAAGGAAAGACAAATTGACCCTCCCTTTCTGAAGCCATGTGCAAGATTCTGCTTAGCCTTAGAACTGCTTATTCCTTGCCTGGAATCCTCTTTCCATTCCATTGATCAAAAGTTAGTGTTCATTTTGAAGTGATGCTATTTGAAGATTTGATCGAGTTAGCTACTTAATTTTGCGGGTCGTCCCAGTGGTTCTACCCCCGGGTTCACCGCCCACGTACAGCGGGCAGGGCAGCGCCTGTGTGGACTCAGGTTAGGGGTGGGACGCGCCTGGAATGGGGGACCCGGACACCGGTCTAACCAGCCCCGCCACTCCCGCGGGCAAGTCAGCCCTTGATCCCTTAAGGAAGGGACAATCGTCGTGGTCCGAGAGAGGAAAATAAGGGTATTTCTGGGCCCATCTCTTTCAGGAGTCGATCAGGTTGGCAGATCTGGAGGACTAATCCAAACAAGGCGCTTGACTTGTGAGGTCGCGAGTCTAGACAGAGCTGGTGGCTCGGCGGCTCCTTATCTTTCCCTGGAATCAGCCGAAGAGGCGCTCCCCGGCCCACTCCGCTAGGCTCGCCCGGGTCCGGAGCCTCCGCTCGACGCAGACTGCACAACAAACACAGCACCTGAGGCTTTTCAGCTCGCTTTATTGTTTAATGGAGAATGCTGCATAACATTCATTTGTCTTCTTGGTTTCGCGACCTGGCGGCTTTGCAGCCACAGACGCTGGGTGTGGGTGTGCGCCAGCGCCCGGCTGTTTGGGTCCCGACGATGAGCAGTGGCGGGCGCTCCACTCCAGCACTGCGCGTGTAAGCGCGCCTGGCTCCGCTGTTCCTGCGCCCTCGGGTCCTTGGAGAGGGCCTTAGGGATACCCAACTGCAGCCCCTTTCATGCTTCCAAAGCCCGGAGGCGGAAAGGTGGAGGAACAGTGGGAGAAAGCGTAGGCGAGGGGTCTTTGGCTAATCCGGTATCTCCTCTTGCTGCCTGGAAATGACAGTTTTGCGCCAATGCCATTTATGGTTGGCAGGGCCAGCGAGCTCTGACTCAAGGGCAATCAATAAAAACATTTAGTTCAATAATAAGCTGTTTATTTTTTCCCCGAATGTACTGAGAAGGGTGTGTCACCGTCTTGGACAAGGTGTCCCTGCGTAGCCGATCACCCGTTTCCCCATGAGTACAAACACATAGCGTGACTTTCCAGTGTTTTCGTGACCACTTCACAGGGCATATCATGGAAGCCTTGGTCCTTCCTAACCGCCTGCCACCACAGACAGACTGAGAGTGTTAGCCACTTGGGAGCAAGGGAACTACTGGGACAGATTTTGCAAAGCCTCTTTTTGGAGGAGCAAATAGCTGGGCTTGGAGATTTATAGTCAAGGATTTTGTGGCTCGAATTCCAAATTAATTGAGATTAAGTTGTTTATCATTTTGGCCTTCCCCATGGGATTTGTTTTTTCTTGTTTCAAGAAAAAGGGGTTTCTAGTTACATCTTAGAACTCACCCTTCTAGTCTGCAAGTGTGTGTGTGTGTGTGTGTGTGTGTGTGTGTGAGAGAGAGAGAGAGAGAGAGAGAGAGAGAGAGAGAGAGAGAGAGAGAGATTGGCATAGTATAGGTAATACTGCCTCTGTCTGAAAACTAACCATAGATGTAGGTGACAGTAATTTCCTTATGTGCTTAACATGGTGTTAATAGAAACACTACATCTCCCAGCTTTGGTGACATGGAAAATCCATACCTTCATGCTTTTCCCTGCCTGTTTTCTGTGTCACAGCTGTGTGTCACCAAGAAAAGAAAAAAAAGAAAAAGAAAAACAAGGCAAAATACAAGTTTTGTGAAATTGAAAAATTTCTGTAGGGAGATTATTTTTTATTATTATTCCTTTCTCCAGGAAACAATCCTTAACAATAACTCAGGCACAGACTTTTCTTTTTCTCATGGGTAAAGGTTACTGTTTATTTTGAGCTGTCACAAATACAATGTGTTGTTTGAAACTTGTTAAAGTTAGCAGGTATGTAGAGATAATACTAGACAGGCCACTGAATATGATAAAGTAAAATATGGTGGGAATTAGCTTTTAAGGGCAATGAAAGATTTTACTTTTTTCTAATAGTTTTTTAATTAATATTTTCTCAAAAAGTATTATCTATTTTCTCAGAGTTCTGTAATAAAAAACAGTAAACTTGTTCAATGCACAGTAAAGCTAAGGTTTGCAAAATCTTACTTGTGCAGGTTCTATTCTGTGGTTATTTTGCTAATTTTAGTTACTCATATTTTCAATAAGATTTAAATAAGTTTCCTTTCCCTCCATAAAAACAAAAATTGCCTACACCTAGGTAAAGACATGTTTTGTCTTAAAATTTTCAATTGTTATTTATTAGAACAACTATTAATTTGGTTTTTAAAGTATAAACAGGAGGTTTACTTTACAAATAGGTTTAACCAAAAATTCTATATCTGATTGTTGGATTAGGAGAAAATAGAAAAAAAAAAGAATTAGATTTTTAAAAAGAATATATACTTTGAAACAGTGTATTTTGAGTATGTAAAGTATTAAAAATCTAATAGTAAACTCTAAAAGTATAACTGCTGGTTATTTAAATTTTTATTTCAGTAGTCCAAAAATTTTTGTTATGGGAGATCAGTTCTCAAAAAGAAATAGTTGAAATAAAAATAGACTGGCAACCTAAAAAACAGTGTTTCATTTACAAAACAAAATGAGTGATTTTTTTTAAAAAACACAGTAATGTACTTTCACAAACATGGAATGGCTGATATCTAAAATGATTACATGTGGAAAATATGGATTAGCAGTTTCCAAAGAATAAAACATTTTAATAAATTCTGAAATAACACTTTTACTTTCCTCAGTAACATATGGAGATATTTTGGAGATTGCTACTTAGAATTCTGTTTTTATATCAAAGCACATTTTATATTTTAAGACTATGATGTATCCTTAAAATCTTTGTGACTTCAAAGGCAGTAGGCATGTTAACAGTTTATACATTGGCAAATTTCTGTCTATTTACTAGAAGTTGAACACTTGGGTGAAGGATGGTTTACTGCCAATAAAAACTTACCTTTTAGTTCTGTTAACCCATCAGGATGGACTCATAAGTCTCATTAATGTTAATGGAAAATGTCCTTGTCTGTCATGTGCAAAAAAGGGCTTGGAGATATTTCAGCCAGCAGTTTCTTTATAGCAAGCATCCTAGGGCTAAAACCACCTAAGAAGTAATTTTGATCCCATCTAGGTCCTGAGAATATGTTAGTCTAATAAGTGAAAATAAGCATATGAAATGGTAGGGTTGGAGTTGACTTTAAAGACAAATGCTTTATAGAAAGGCGGGGGAAAAAGGCATGAAAATATTTTCCACACATTTGAGAGTTTTAGGAGTAACCTCTTACTTAACTGATATTTCAGAAATACTGCTGCTAGGTAGATGGTATAACTTCTCTGCTACTGAGATCTAGAACTACAGTTGTTCTATGCTGCTTGCAGACCACATAGGAAGTTGTTTGTATTGAATTATTTACTGGAATTTGAGTGATGCTTTGTTTATATTTTCATTTTATAGTAGTGATAAATTATATGAAATCAGTCTTGTGGATAAATATATGCATTCCTAACGTGTATTGTGGCAGCCTTTGCCGTGGCCTAGAGTTTTCTCTAGGGCAAAGCTAAGTGACGGGTATTATCCTAGAATTTCTAACATTATAGAACTGAGTGATAGTCCAAGAGTATAAATGATGAATATTGTTCACATGCAATGTTGTGTCGGTTAGTCAAGCTAAAATTTTCTAGAATGGCTACATAGACTATTTTAAGTCTTCTTAAAAGGGAACATCGAGAAAGGAGCTATTTTCTTCTAGAGTAAGAGGTACATAGTGGTTTTCTACCATGGCATAACACTTTTCTATCTGTAAAGTCCTTCACAGTCATCAGTTATGCATGAGAGCCACCAGAGCCCATTTTCCTAATGACCTCTGTACCTGTTGCTTAGAACAGCTGTCAGTTCCCTTGTCTTCTTCATATGTAAAATAGCAGAACATCAAAGAAGTCCTTGGTGACTCGAGGGAGGACTGTGTTAGATCAGATAATGAAAATTATTTTACCAACATTTTCAGTGAGTTCCAGTCTTCATAA